CTGGATACCCAAATTAATGAAGTTATGTTAGTTGAATCGCTATCCAAGCTAATATAAATTAAAGAAAGGAAGAAAGAAACCCAGGGAAATGGTAAGCAATGGTTGATAAAATAAAAAAAAGTTCAAAAAAGAGAAATAAAAGAAGAAAAAATGGTGAATAGAGTTGACATGGACCCAACTTCCAAATTCCAAGTACCAAATGCATGGTCAATCCAAAGAATTGGTATCAATTTGACAAATTCTATTGACCACGCCAGACGCAAGCGCAACTAGTCTCTGATCTACTCCATGTGCTTGAAATGGGTGACGGCACATAGCAAAACCTAGCTCACTGACCTACAAACATTTTCTATTACTCCTATGTGGGGAGTCACATGCATACCAGTAGTTCAGATTCAGACTTGGGAGGCTGGATTTTGAAGATAACCAATCAAAAGGAAGTTGCCCCACTGGATTTACTCAATACCCAGCAGCAACTTAGATGGGCTATGAATACCGTGGCCCATCTCCCCAACTGGGCTCATTTTAATCATTTCTTATGCAGCTCACTCTTGTATTCTTTCATTCGTCGTTGTATGGGAATGGTAGGGCAGAGAAATTCAAGATTTGCATAACTAAACTCAGTTGTTTACTACCATTTCTTTAATCTTTTTATTTTTTTTCTTTTGAGATTTAGTAAGGCCTTAAACCTTAGTATAAGAGAACATGGGTGTCCCACTTGTGTGCTCGCGAGATGCTTGTCACCATTCCGACATGCTTGTCAAAGAAATCCACACCTCCTCCCTCCCAGCTCCTAGTCCCAGAATTGAAGCCTCTAACGCTGAGATCCCAACCGCTGCGAAAGCCCACTGACCCTGACCCAAGTCCTAAGTCCCCATTTCTCCCCCTCTATTTCTTCCATATACCCCTCATGTCACGTTTCTACTTTCCAAGTTCCTTCTCATTTCTCTAAGTCCTGACATTTTTTTTTTTTTTTATCTTCTCCCTTTCTGTGCTACGTAAGCCAGTTTTCTTCTTCTTCTCTCCATTCCACACCTAGTAAATCATCTACAGCGCACGTCCATTCTTTCGTGTTTTGTTGAACTGACCGTTAAACTGGAATCTTCCATCGTCATGAATGAACACTCTGAAGAAAGAACTCGATGGATCAAAAATCTTTTGTTTTGCTTGACGAGCTTATATAGATTACCGGTCGGTTTTAAATGATTCCAATCCCATATATAACCGGTCGGTTTTAAATGATTTCAATCCCATGGTTTTTCAGTATGATGATGTACACTTCATTTACCATAAGGTGTATTTCCTATTCCATGATTCCGTGGGTGTTTGGTATTGATGCCGTTTTTTGAGAAAGTAGCACAACGTAGGCATTATATCAGAGAAAGTGGTGCTTCAAACAACGTCTTCTTGTTTGGTACCATTTTTTCAAAAAAAAATATTGCTTCAGACCACGCTTTAGAAATAGGAAAAGTATGGTCTGGAGAAACGTCAAATTCAAAGTTTTTTGAGAAAATGGTGCGTTACTGCCAGCAGTGCAATGATGTACCATCATCTTGGACGTTGGGTAATATAGATCAGTGTTGAAAAAGTTGCTGCCAGCATTGGTACCAAACAAAACCAGTATTGTTTTCTCAGAAAACGCCTATGTGGCAGCACCGGTTCCAAACAAAAGAAAAAACGGTGCTTACAACTCTACATGCCTGACACCGTTTTTATGAGAAAAGGGTGTGATGTTCCCACCACTGATACCAAACACCTACTCCATATCTACACTGTCATCTCATTTTCTTGCTAATTGTCACTGTGTCACATACCCCATCCCGTTATCCGGGTCATCACTTTCGTCATGTTACCAAGTTACCATTGGAAAATTAAAACCACACGCTTATACACAACAAAAATGTTAAATCCACCCCCATCTTTTATTTTAGGGTAAATTGCTTAAACCTCCCCTAAGTTTCTAATCGTTGTTGCTGAAACCTCCCCTAAAGTTTGGTAATTACAATTATTTTCTCTGAAGTTTTCAACATAGTTACAAGTAGATTCCTTCTAATAGAATCTTTTAAAAAGAGACATGAACATACCCAATTTCCAAAATACTCATTTAGCTAAACTTTTGACAAAAATGTTTATTTTCCAAATCTTCTCTTCATATGAATCAATACTCCAAACCTTTTTAATATCTTTTCTGAAATTAATTTATTTTTCAAATTTACCTTTCATATCAATAACTTAGAGGTAAAGCTACAACTTTAGATTCTCTTTGCTTTCATTGCTCATAAAGTTTGTATTGTTTTTTTTCCTCTTGGAGAAACCAACCTCAATAGTAACTGAATGGGTATTTTAGACATTTTCATACATTTCTTTTAGAAGGTTCTACAAAAGGGGGTCTATTTACAATTGTATCAAAAAGTTCAAGAGAGGTGATGCAATTACTAAATTTCAAGGGAGGTTTCAGCTAGGGGTGGATTTGAGCCGAGCCGAGCCGAGCCGAATAGCTCGATTTGAGAATACAAGGTAGTACGTGGCTCGAGCTCGAGCTCAAGCTCAGTTTGAGCTAGAACCTTGAGCTCGAGCTCGGCTAGGCTCAAGCTCGATTTGAGAAAAATGTTCTATAAAAAAAAAATTATATACAACAAATATTTTGTATTTGATATTTAAAAAATTAAGAATTGTAATAATTATTTATTATTATATATATAATTTTTATTATATATATTATTTTCTATAATTTTATTATTATTATTATTATTATTATTATTATTATATACATGTAGCTATTCGAGCTCGGCTCATGGCCACCCCTAGTTTCAGCTATGGTAAAAAATTTTAGGGGAGGTTTCAGCAATTTACCTTGTATTTTAACCTTGTTACCCCAAGCTTCTATATTCCAAAAACACGACAGTACCCTATATTGTTTGTTTATTTGCATGTTCTCAGGGTTTTATTTTTCTTTTTTATACGAGTGCATAGTAATAACTTCGAGAGTAAATTATAAAGGCCCCCTATTATGGAGTCTTTAATTCGCGACAAATACCTCTCTCATTACATTCCCCCTCAATAGGGGTGGATTTGAGCCATGCTAAGCCGAACAGTACGAGTCTTGAGCTCAGCTCCCCAAGGTTGTACAAGGTTCGAGCTCAATTCGAGCTAGAACATTGAGCTTGAGCTCATCTTGAGCATGGTTTGAGAAAAAATGTTTTATAAAAATAAAAAGTTATGTATAAAAAAATATTTTTTATTTGATATTTAAAAAGTTAAGAATTATAATATTTTTATTGTATATATTATTTTCTCTAATTTTATTATATATATATACATATATATTCGAGCTCGGCTCGCGAGCCTCACTAGCTGAGTTCTATTAGGCTTGAGCTTGACTCAAAGCTCGATTGGAACCGAACCGAACTCGAATGGCTCATGAAAAACTCAGCTCGTGGCCACCCCTACCCCTCAGTTAACATTGAAAAAGATTCTCATTCAATTGTCCTTTTTATTAATTTATTTTAATAATTTATAATTTGATTAATTTTCTAAACATAATATTGAAGTCTTCTCAGTTACACTAATAGATCCTTGCAGATATATATGGTTGAAATCAACATTCATATGAAGTCTAGAATTTTCTTTATGATAGATATAAATTTAAGGTTTCCCTTGTTTTAATTTTTATTAAGGAAAGGAATGAATAATTTTTATATTTTAAGACGATGAGAGGCATTCATATCATTGAAAGGAAACAAGAGTTTAAAGAAATTTACTTTTTTATGTCAGTAAAATGATTTTTGTTATTTGGTTAGTTTCATTTAAAAAAATAGGAGCATTTTGGGTAAGTTGGGGTTTAAGAGAAAAAGGTGAAAGAAAATAAGAAAATGCTCCTATTTTTCTTTTAAATAAAAAAATACTTTAAACAGTCGAAGTATTTGATACAAAGTCTATAATAAGGGAGTCTTTGTAATTTACCCAGTAAAGTTCTGTTGTATTTTAATAAGAATTTCATTTAAATTTAGGTGCTTAAACCAATTAAGCGCAGAAATACAAGAATCAAATCGCTTATGAGCCAGACACAACAGATGAATACACACAAACCTAATAAACAATGTAACTAAGGCTACAGTCTACAACTCTACACTACAGCCTACAAATACAGAAGCACCAAAGTGATAAAAAAAAAAAAAAACACAGTTGCAAACGGCAATACTTCTGTAAAGCTGGGCCCGACCATCAAGGAGGAGGGTTGTCTTCAAAAACATTATTTTCCATGCTCCTACAAAGCTAACACGTGATCTACACCCAAACTGCAGAATCCAATAAAACGAATTATAAGGGTGTTTTCAACAATTTTCGTTTCCATGGCCTCCCTACAAAGCTAGCACGTGAACCACACCATTGCCCCTCTCTACTATCTCTCTCTCTAGCTTCTGATGTGAATAGTTTAAGTAGTACGCGTGGTTTTCGTCAATTTTCTGTGTTCTAGAGACTAGAGAAGCAAAGGGGTCACTTTGGTAAATATACTAGAACGCCGAGCACTTCTTCTCTGTGGACCCAATTGTCTTTGACTTTTCGGTTATCAAATTACCCTGCTTAAATTTCAGCCACTAATGCTAACCAGATACTCTCCGAATTACCAAAACAGCCCCTACCAGTCAAATCTAAAATGACTTATATTCTTTTTTTGCTTTTTGTCTCTCATAAATATACACACAAAAGCAGAGCAGAGGGGAGAGGTGGTGAATGATGATGCTTCCGTTTCCTTCTACTTTCTTGGGTTCCTCAATTTTCACTTCTTCTTTTTTGCAGAAAAAAATGAAAATAAAATAAGAATATAGAAACCCACAAAGCTACCGACAAAATCCAGAAAATTATGTAAAAAAAATAATGGAAAGCCGCCAATGCCCATTGTAGCCTTCAATGTGCTCAACTACCTCCCTTATTATGTAAGGGTACTTAAGTAATTCTATTATATTCGTCCCTCCCTATTCTTAGAAGCTAGGGGTCCTTCCCTTATTATTTTGAAAGAAAGATTTGAGTCGAGTAAACCTCCAATTCACAAAAGAAGAAAAAAAGAAAAAAACAAGAGTAGACCTCCAAATCCACACGAGACGCGACTACTCTTCTTCCTCAGGAATCAGGACGGACGGCAGGACCTCACTCTGTCTCGGCTTAAAAGCAGGCAATCAGAAACACAGCAGTAAGAAACGAGTTGTGGATGGCGACTCAGCTTCCCGATGATTTCAAGTGTCCGATTTCTTTAGAAATAATGTCCGACCCAGTCATCCTGTCATCCGGGCACACCTTCGACCGATCTTCCATTCAGCGGTGGTTGGACACCGGCAACCGGACCTGCCCAATCACCAAACTGCCCCTCCCGCAGCACCCGTCTCTCATCCCCAACCACGCTCTCAGAAGTCTTATTTCTAATTTCACCCTCTCTTCCCCTCCAAAGCCACAATCTCAACCACAACCCCAGACCCTAATCTCCACGCTCACCTCCCCATTCTCATCTCTCGACTCCAAGCTCGATTCACTCAACCAACTCAGCCGTCTCTCGAAGCGGAACCCTGCCTTACGTCAGAAGTTAACAGAGTCTGGTGCCGTTTCTGCCGTTCTCAATTGCGTTGGCTCACAGGATTCCAGTATCCAAGAATCGGCGCTTTCACTTCTCTTGAACCTCAGTTTGGATGATGACAATAAGGTGGGTTTAGTCGCCGAGGGAGCAATTGGCCGTGTCGTTTCTGCTTTGCAATCTGGGACGCCCAACTGTAAGGCACTTGCAGCAACGATGCTGACGAGCCTAGCCGTCGTGGAGGTAAACAAGGGGACCATCGGTGCATTTCCGTTTGCAATTAGAGGTCTTGTTTCGCTCCTTTGGGACGGCAACGGGAGGGGGAAGAAAGAAGCAGCGACGGCACTTTACGCCCTATGTTCCTTCCCTGATAACAAGAGGAGAGCTATTGAATGCGGGTCGGTGCCAATTTTGATCGAAATGGCCGGTTCTGGTGTCGAAAGGGCTGTTGAAGTTCTAAGCTTGTTGGCCAAGTGTAGAGAAGGGAGAGAAAAAATTGAAAAGTTTGATGGTTCTGTCCGGATTTTGGTCAGAGTGTTGCTGAATGGAAGTCCACGTGGTGTACAGCACGCGCTATCCACGTTGAACTCACTCTGTTCTTGTAGCCAAAGAATGTGTTGGGAGGTTAAGAATGAGGACATTGAAAAAATTTGTTTTGTATTTCTGGAAGGTGAGAATGAGAAGATTAGAAGAAATGCTTCGAATTTGATTCAGACTCTACAGAGGTGTTCATCAACGGTTTGATTTGAGTTGGGGTCTGTTTAATTAGCAGAGATTTTTTTAGTAGAAGATGAAGTGAAGGAAATCTTTCATTTTTTGGGAAGCATTGAAGCTCTATTCTTCTTCATCGTCTGTAGAGGTGAGTTTGGTTCTGCTCATTAGCCTTCCTCCCTCCATTTGAATGGTCAATGTAAAAAAGCAAAGAGTAGATTTTAGTGGGGTTGAGTCCTATCTGTATCTTGTACATTCTCAATAAACACATCAAATTTCTGTTTTTGTTGGTCATATAAGAAATCTTCATTTTGATCCTCTGAATTGCCGATCAAGGAAAGAAAAAAGCTGTATTCCATTGAATTGTAAGTTGTAACTTATTTCCTAAAGAAAACAAAAGAAAAGGAAGATAAATTAAAAGAGAAAAACTGAAGACAGAAACTATTCTGTAAGACTTCTGAATAGCTGTTTTTATTTCATGGAACACCGTAGACAAAACATAATTCTAACTGAGGTGCACAAGTAGCTGACTATCTGGGCTATGATCAATATTAACTGTTTGCTCTGGAAACTCGTTAGGAGTCCAAAAACTCGTCTGGTTCTAAATATTGAGATCAATTCAGCACTTAAAGGGGAAGGAACAGAAAAACAATAGTAATTTAACGACCTAGTAGACTACTTATTCTTAAAATTGAGGAGAAGGTCTCTCCGTTTTTTCGACATCCATGATATGTCCGAAACAGTTACTGGTTGTTCATCTATGTTTCAACGTTAATATCGTTTAGAAAAGATTGCAAAATTATATGAAATCTAGAAGCTGTTAGCTTCCATAATTCACCGAGCACTATATATGAAGAAGATTGCAAAAACAAGTGCACTAGAAATGAAATTCTTTCCGTGAGCACGTCTCTGTTTTTCTCAAGGCAACAGGGGCCATCCAAATTTTGATACCTTTAGAATGTATATGGTTGGAGGTTTTTTCAGCTGTATTGTCAATAGAACATAAATAGTACAATAATGCTTATCATGGTGAAGCTCCCATTGGTTTTCCAATTAGTGGTCCTTAATCTCATCCTGTCATCCATGTAGAGTCCTCCCATTGGCCAAGACGTACATCTTGTTTTGATTGGATGCCACCACGTTCAATTGTGTAGCAGCTACACCTAGGTACGAATGCTGCGAATCCCTCAGGCTCAGCTACAAGATGGGTCTCTGTTATCAGACGATGCCAAAGCCAAAATGTTGTCTACTACTGCTTTGATGGCAAATGAGGATAATGCAATGACAGGGAATTGTAGTTGCGGCAGAGATAGATGCATTCAAGTTTCTTACCACAAACTTGAATTCATATCATACATCCATCCGGTAGATATATACTTGAACGTTGAATCTCTGAATTTTGCTTCCTACTTTTCAGAGATAATATGTTGCTTCTTTATTTATGGTGGTATTTTGCTTGTTTCCAATCTCTCGGACCATTGTCACTGGTCGAATTATCCAAAGAAGCATAGTAATTTTGAGGTTCAATTTCTTCTAGAAACCATATTAAATTAAATGGCAATGGAGGAAATTTTGAAAAGCAAGGTATGTTGACTGCATAAGAGTTCAACTTCAACCCCAAAAAGCTTAATTTGTGACATTCAAACTCCATGGTGATAATTTTCGGTAAACTAAGGAATAGCAGTACAGTAATACAGTGTCCCGGAAGACATTGGATTGCATTATCTAAAAGCTAAACTCTCAAGGAGTCATGATTGGTGGTCCACCGCGGTTGAGTCACCACCCAGTGACCAGTGTAATAACGTGGCCTAGCTGATGACCACGAACGAAGCAGATTGGATTTGGAAGAAGTCATATTTGAAGCTCATTTTGTAACTATTTCAACTGTATACGTAACATCTGGGCCCAGTATATCATCAAAAACTTTGTTCACGTTGGACCAGGGTGTGACTCAATCGTTGGGGATGTCCTCATTTTCTCATCAACACTCGTGGTCAAAAGAATAGATATCTGTGTCTTGATTTTGGTATGAGATATATAGGTTAGTCCAGACTCTAGAGGTGAAAGTTGGGCCGGGTTAGGTGGAGTTGAGGTCAACCTTAACCCAAATTGTTGAACGGTTGAATCCCCTAAACCTAAATCTGAACCAACTCGATAACTTCAGGATGGGAGTTTGCGTTGGCTCAATTTTTTAATTTTCTTTTATTAAAATGCTTTTATTTCTTATAATTAAGTTAAGACCAGTAAATTATGATTGATCGACTTCAGTATTATCCATGTACAGTGCGAAAATAGTTCAGGACATGAGTACACCGAAAGGCGAAAAGTACTAAAGAGCCACCTCGGGTTCTATATGTTGATTTGAGTCAAACTTGTAATATAAAACATGGTTGTTTGGTGTTGGATTTGGGCGTGTCCGCGTTTTAATGTGAGACCAAACCAACTGGAAACTTTTTGTTAAGCAGCTTTGTCTGTTGGAATGGGGAAATTTGAATTTATCTCTGGGTAGTGTTTCTTTGAGCATGATCAGAAGGATTTGAAAACTTGAATTCCTCTCTCAAATTTAATTAATTTATTTATTTTTTTTTTATGGAGAGTTGTTAGAGGATTTGTTTATACTAGTGCTGATTTGCTTAATCTTGGAATGAATGTGGATATTATCTGTTCCTTTTGTTATAGAGAGGTAGAATCATTTGTTTGGGCAGTTCTTTTTGGGATTCCTTAGGCTTTTAGAGTTAATCAAATTCATTTTGATTCTATGTTTGGCTCTTTTCAAGTACTGTTTGGTTGGCTATGGCTTTTTACTTTATTTGCAAGCTGGAAATTAAGGTTCTTTTTGATAATGTCAATAGACTATCGGTTCAGTGGGTTTTAATGGTAGGAAGCAATTAAAGGAATTAATCTGTTCTATTTCATTTTCTGGCTACTAAAGGAGCCCCAAGGCTTTGAAGGATCTTGGTCGAGCCCTCCTGATTGGCTGGTTCCTTCGCTTTTGGAGGATTGCCCCTCCCCGAGGTGATGTTTATTCTTCTTAATTTGTCTGTCTGGTTTTTCTTTCCTTTCCTTCATTCTTTTCGTTCTTTTTTCCGGCTTGTTAGCTTTTCTTCAAAAAAAATCTGTCGTCTTCTGCTTATCAGTATTTTAATTTGATTTGATTTGAATAGTAAGGATTATGGTTTTTGAACTGTCATTGACCCAGACAAGGACAACGGACTGTTCAGCCTAAAAACCATTAGACAATCAGTTCTGTTTCATCTTTGAACTGCTGCTTTACCAAAAACTGGACGATTTAGTCAGTGGCCCGTTGATCCAAGTGGTCGTGCCATTGACCTATTTGACTCAAAAAGTGATTTTTGGCTATTTTTTAATTTTAAATATATATATTTTTTATTTTCTCACAATTGCAATGAACTGTCTGTCTGGTATTGCTCTCGAGAAGAGGGTCTTCTTCTACCTCGAGTTATAGTGCCCCAACACAATTCATAAAGGAAATAAGTAAACAAAAAAAGATTTGATCAAGGATCAAAATATTGGTATTGGGTATCGTCTCAGACAAGTTGGATATGAATACGGATACACTTTGGAAACACGTGTATAAACAAAAGATTTAGCTAGAAACACTTGTATACACTAGGAAAATATATACAAATCACATAAATATATTAACAACATTAAAAATCAAAAGATGAATTGTCTATGAATAAGGTATAATCACTATAAGAAAAATGACTTTTAGCTGCAGTCAGAACTACCGCTAAAGGTCCTTAAAACTACCGCTAGAAACTTTACCAGCAGCCGACAAGTTGCCACTAAAAGAACTATTGCTGGAAATTCTAGTGACAGTTTTCATGGCTGCCAGTACAAATGCAAAACTACCACTAAAAGTATCTTTAGCGGTAATTGCGACTACCACTAAAAGACGAATGACTACTGCTATAAGTTTGGTGCTCTTTTTTTTAGCAGTAGTCGCGACTACCGCAAAATCTTTTTTTTTATATAATCCATAATTTCTTTTTAAATTATTCTTGATTTGCTTCAAATAACATGTTTTGTCTACATTCATCTAAATTAGAATGAAATACAAAAATCAATACAAATGCAATTTAAAAGTCTATTCTCCATTCAAAATATTTTTCTGCCAAAAAAATTCAATACATTTGGATCACAAATTAATACATCTTAGTCTCAAATTGATACATTCTTCAATACAAATTTCATCATCTATTCTCAAAACTCAAAACTCAAAACACTTGATGTGTGAAAACTTCTCCCAAAATTCAACGAAAATGAATACCTGCACAAAGGATGATTGTGGTAAGAATGAAATCTCAAATGGTGAATGACATAGAAAAATGCATGCTTAAACACAGCTTGAAATACAGAGAAAAATTTTGAAAAGGAATGTGCATATCCAAATTCTAAAAGAAATAGAATACTTCAATGGGTTAAGTGTCATGTTATTAGGATTTAGGACAAGGGTGGTTGAACCCCAAGTGGATTGCTTTCTAGTTTCCAAAATCGAATTGCTAGGAATATGATAATAACAATTGATTTTAGTCAAAATATGGTTTAACCATGAATTTTTCATATTTTTATTTTATTACTCAACCAAAATTGATCCAGAATTTACAATTTTCTTATTTGTACTTCTATGAAATTATATTAGTGCAAATCAGATTACTTTTCAAACAGATGAGCAACAAACAAGTAGGTATTTGTAATAGTTTCATTCCAGGCAGGCATGCATATAGGCACATTGTAAATCATTTAACTGAGTTGGACACTGACCCTTTTGTCAATTATGTAGGTTCTGATCCTGAACTCCTGAGATGGTTTGCACAGGCTGAGCTAATGCACAGTAGATGGGCAATGCTTTCTGATGAAGGCCCATCACAAGAAAGCCCATCGCACCCCTAGGGGCAGCAGCTCTAGGATAAGGATAAGGCAAGAAGTCAAGATAGAGAAGGAGCCAAGATTATCAAGATTAGTCCAAGAGAGATAAGCAAGAACAACTCAAGACTCCCAAGACTATCAAGA